TGGATTCTCCTTCCTTGCAGGTTTTTAAGGCCTGGCTTGACAAAGCCCTGGCTGGGATGATTTAGCTGGGAATTGGTCCTGCTTTGAGCAGGGGGTTGGACTAGATGACCTCTTGAGGTCCCTTCCAACTCTGATATTCTATGATTCTATGATCTCACATCCATATGCCCAACCTTGTGGCAGCCTTCCATGAGGCCCATCCTGAGAAACCTGGGTCCTGTGGGGGTAAGGGAGTAAATGTAAGGCCACAAAGGGCTAAAACCTATGCCTGTAGAGATAGTGGGCAGTTAACAGCTACAGGCTACGACCCAGCAGCAGCTGTAATCAACCTATGCTTCACTCCTTATGACCCACTGTGGATACAGACCATGGGACGTTAAACCCAAGGTGAATTCCAGGAAGTGTCCAAGCAACAATGAAGATCTTCTGTAGCTGCCATGACCATTCCTGGTCTACGGTCTTGAACTCCTGGCTTGACTGTGGCTTGTTTTGGACTCCACCTCCTGATTTGGCTCTTCAGTATCAACCCTGGCCTGGAACTGACTAGAAACTCCTCTGCTACCCAGGCCTGTGACTCTGGGCAATATGCTGGACATAGTGGATGGTATTACAGCAATGGGGTTCCCAAACTGCAGTGGAGTGACAGATGGTCTGGTGCTAACATAGGAATATTCATGCCACCTTGCCATGGAGTACGTCAACAGAAAGGGCTACTTTTCTATGGTAATGCAAGTGCTGGTGGATCACCAGGGATGCTTTCCCTATATCAGTGTGGGCTGCTCAAGGAAGATGCATGATGTGTGCATCTTTGTTTTTAAAGAAAGCGGCATGCAGGGTCTATCTTTCCCAACCAGTGTATTACCATTGGGAATGCTGAAATGCCAATAGTGATCCTGAGAGGCTTAGCCTACTCCTTGCTTCCCTGACTCATGGTACACCAGCCACCTTGATAGCACCAATGATTGCTTCAGCTACAGGCTTAGCAGGTGCACAATGAGAGTTGAATATGCCTTTGGTTGTTTGTTTACTTACAAGATAGGACCTCAGTGAGAAAAATATCCCAATGGCCTACCTGGCCTTGTTCTTTTGCAGCCTGGTATGAGTCGTGCAGTGATTGCTGTGCAATATATTTAGGGATATAAAATTGTCATGCACCTATTAATATTGTCTCTGAATGATGTTATGGGTTCTGTGACAAAGTGAAGTAACAGGAAACTGGTGGGTTTCAATCCTGCTCAGCACTAACAGTATATGCTGTGTACTAATAAAGATGAATTTTGCAGCAAAAAATAGCATTTCATTCTGTAACAGGAATTAGGCAATGGGGAGAAAAAAAACATTCAAAACTTAATAAATTAAGGGAACAGAACTAGTGAATGGGAAAGAACATGCCATTTTCAGGTACACATACACGCTTTCACAGGTCAGCATATGTGAAGCTGTGATTGATTGTCTTTAGTGTCCTCTCCCCCAACCCAGGTGGCGTGGTAAGGGTAGTGCACCAACCCTTGATGCCACATAGAATGTTGGGGAGAGGGTATAACAAGGTCCAGATATTTGAGTTCTTTATGGGCTGCAGAGGGAGGTGAGCATGAGATTGTTGAACCTGCTGGTCTACCAGAGTCTGCAGAATCTCTGTTTCTGTCTGAGAAGTGCAAGAATCTTCTGCTGCACGTCTCTCTCCTTTTCCTGTGTCTTTTTCCTCTTTACTCTATCCTTCTCCATGCTATCTGCAAGAGTCATCCTCCAGGTCCTGGTCTTGTTCTCTGATGCAGCACTGGCTTGCAGGATCTCCTGGAACACGTCATCCCGAGTCCTCTTCTTTCTCCTCCTTATCTAGTTCGGGTTTGGAGGGGGAGACGCTGAAGTCCACAATAGCAGCAGCTGCAGATACAACACACATTGTCAGTGTATTCAGAATGGAAACTGAAACTTAAGTTACTGAACTCACTCACTTCCATACAGCACTAGCCATGGTGAGTATGGCCCTTGGGGGAGGATGGGTTTGGAGAAATGAGGGGGCGGGGGCTAGCTCACTGGAATGATTATAGCTGTATAGGGCAATGGAACTGAATGCTGGCACTGTTTTCCACAGGTGATGGTGATTTTAGCCGATCTCACTCCTGAGTGTAATAGATGCAGGGAAAGCACAGCTGCTCCTTGTAGACTTTACTGGTGAAAACTTAGGTGCCTGGGGATTTTAGGCACCCACAAGTTCAGGCAGCAGCCGAGTAGTGGTTTTATGGATGCCCATGATGCATAAATGTTGTACATAAGTGACTAAAGTGGCAGGTAGGTGCCTAAGTCACTCTTGTGAATATAGCTCTGAGTTACTAACTTTTTTTTAAAGATAAACAGAATTGTTGACAGTACAAAGTACTTTCTTACATATCTATTAAAACAAAGGGAGTGATTTCCTACCCATTTATTAAGGTTAATCTCTCAATTACGTGAATAAGATAATTGGGAGCAGAGGTTGCTCCTCATTGAAGAAAATGGGATGAGAGATAGTTACAATGATCATTTACCCAGAGACAGATGCGTTAACAGAATAGCAGTGGATTTGTTTACTTTGAGAAGGAATGGAAAAACATACTAAAAAAATTAAGATTTGTTTTTAATTAGAAGCTTAAATTTTGCAGAAAAGTGTGGAATACTCATGGGATCCATAATTTTCTTTCAAATGCTCTAACATTGGGCAATTCCTTTTGAAGAGAACATCAAGAGTCAAACAGAACTCCACTGATTTCAGTAGCTTAAGTCATTCAGGATGGAGAACATGTACGTAGTGTTGAACTTAAAAAAGCCAAAATGAGAAGAAAGCTTTATTCTTTTGACACTGAAATTTGACTTCCTATTTAGCCCCATTGTGAGCAGTGTTTTTTTGGCACAATGGCCTCTGTCCTGCAAAAACTTGCATGTGTGTTTAGTCATATGAATACTTCTATTGGACCATATTCTTCAGTCTGCTAAATTCACCTTCACCGTGTCCGTAGGAGGAGAGGATGTGTTGAGGGTGGGGTGAGTGTGTAGGGGGTGCACCGAGGATGGAAGAGGGCAGGGTGGAGATGAGCTCCCGTATGTCTGGTCCCTGACCACCATAATCTCAAATTTTATGCCACTGTCAGAAATTAGAGTGGGACCCAGATCTTAATGACTGAGTATGAGTGAACAGTAGCCAGCCCCCTGCAGCTGCTACTGTCCACTAGGTTTCAGCACAGCACTGACTGTGGAGAATTGGTGCCAGTGACTTCAGTGGGATTATACACATGCTTAAAGTCTTTGCAGTAGTGAGGCCTACAAGATTAAATATGCTTTAATAATGCAAGTCCTGATATTGCATAGATATGTGAAATCAAGTCTAGCTTTAACCTGTGTGTTGTATTAGCATTCTTAGGGGTACTAAATGGATAAACTTACTTGATTCTTATAAGAAAACATCCATTTCACTAAAACATACCCTGTGACTCAGCAGAAAAAACACACGGACGTTCTCTCTTATTCATACTAGTCTGAGAGAAGCTTTGTTCTCAAACAAATGTGAAAACTGACATAGAAACTATTCTCTGCTAACATGGTTGTACCAGATGTTGACACACAGTGTGGATGGGTGACGATTATATTTTAAAGAGATGTTAATTTTTCTTTCCTTCTCTAGGGGTTAGTCCAAACTAATCTTAAAACCTCTAAAATATATCTTCCATCACTCCCTCAAGAGACTGTTCTGCAGCCTAATGCAATCCACTTTCAGGAACCCTTTGCTGCTATTCAGTCTAAATATTCACTTTCTTAAACATATATTAAAAGAAGGGTTAGAAGTGAGACACCTCTCCCTAAGGCACCAGATCTAGGGAATGGTTTGTGGCTAACGCCCAGACAGGCCTGGGGAGATTCACGTTCTACTTCTGTCTCTGCTGCATATTCCCTGGGTGACTTTAGGCCAGGAGTTCTCAAACTGGGGGTCGAGAGCCCTCAGGGGGTCACAAGGTTCTTACATGGGGGGGTCGTGAGCTGTCAGCCTCCACTCCAAATCCCGCTTTGCCTCCAGCATTTATAATAGTGTTAAATACATAAAAAGTATTTTTAATTTATAAGAAGGGGTCGCACTGAGAGGCTTTCTATGTGAAAGGGGTCACCAGTACAAAAGTTTGAGAATCACTGCTTTAGGCTTATCTTCTCTGTACCTTAGTCAGCTTCTCCATCTTTGGGTACATAATACATACTTCACAGGAATATTAAGGGGCTTGCCATTAATATTTGTAAAATGCTAGGTGATCTTAGTATAGAACATTTTATAAATGTAAAGGAAAGATAATACAATAATATTGTATGTAGCAACTTGCAGTAAAACAATATTCTCATGTCAACACTGTTTCTGAATTAAATGGAGAAAAAATAGCAAAGGAAAAGTGATGAGGTTTAAGCCCCAAAGAAATAATTCAGTATTGCTTTAGTAGACTGAAATTTCTTTAGGGCAGGGGATTTGTTCCTGTAAAGAGTCATGGATGTTGCTAGAGCCCCAGTCCTGCAATCAGATCTGTGTGGGAAAGGAGTTTTCCTGCACGGATCTGATTGTAAGATTGAGGTTTGGGTGTGCACATCTTTCATAATGAAAAGCACAATAACTTGATATGCAAGGTTTTTAGCATATCATTACAAATTCAAAAAGGGGCCTATTCTGATGGAAAATACTGCTCAGAAATGTGAATTGTTTCAAGCAAAAACCTGCCTGTTTCCTAGCAGGGCTGCTGTTTGCATCAACAATGAGCGTCCTCCCCCTAAATTTCCAAATGTCAAAACCAGACAGTTTATTAAAGCGGTGAGAAGAGCGATGGGGCACATAGGCGGGGAACTTCTGAACCAATTGGCCAGACAAAACCAAACCGGGGAGTTCTGCAGCGCTCCCTGGCACGCCACAGCTCATGATAATGATATAGTGGCAATGCAGAACAAGCAGGGCACTGGAATAAAAAAACAGCTCGTTCTGCCCCACCGTGTGGCTCCTGCTGCGGGGGAAGAAATAAGCGGAGGTGGCTGTTCTCGGGAAAAGGGAACAGGCTCAGCAGGGACTGAAGCTCGCTCACCCCTGGACAAGCCGTGGGGGCGAGCCTGTGTGCGTGTGAGAGGGGGAGAGCAGCGCGTGCTCCCCCCGCAGCGACAGCAGGCAGAGCCCGGCGGGGAGCCGCTCTCCGCCCTGGCAGCGCAGGCGGGGAGGGAGGAGTGGCCTGGTTACGCATTGCGGCTGGGGAGAACCTGAGGCGGCCGGGAGAGGAGCTGCCGGCGCCGCTGCTGTCAGTGCGGTGGGGGCGGGAGCCAGGCCGGGCTGGGAGGGAGCCGCTCGCTTCTCCGCCAGCCAGGGAGCGCTCGCTGGGCTCGGGCGCCTCACTGAGCGGAGGGCGCGGGACCCTCCCGGCGCGGCCGCGGTGCTACCTAGGCAGCCACTCACCTAAAATGGCTGGAGCGCGGAGGTGAGCGCGGCAGCCCCGCGGCTCGGAGAGGCGGCGGAACGAGCCTGTGTTTAACCCCCCCCACACACACCATGTCGGCGGGGCAGGACGAGAGCTCGGTGCGGGTCGCTGTCAGGTAAGGGCGAGGGGGCGCCGGGGGGCGCTGCTCCGGGCAGGGGGCTCGGTGCCGCGCATGACGGGGGAGGTCACAGGTGGACTGGTACCTTCCGGCCTGGAGCAGTGCGGGCAGGTGGCTGCTGGTGTCCGGGGCCGCGTGAACCCACCGCCCGCGAGGCCTGGGGGCAGGCCGCTGCCTGTCAAAGCTGGGGCCGGCTGGGGGTGGAAGCGGGGCCACTCTTCTCTCCGCCCCACCCTAGTCATTGGCCCCGCAGCGGCGTGTGAAACCGGCTTATTGCATTGGAGTGAATGAGTGCCTTGCTGAAAACTCCTGCCTAAGATGCGTGACTGGCCTGAGACATCTATGAAGGGAGTGAATACATGTTCAGCTTAGATTTCAAACATCATGACTCTAAGCAGGGTTTCTATACAATAGAAGAAGCTGTGTATTTTCCGTACTGTATGCAATATCTTGACTTACGTTCCATACGACATATGCAGGCAGTGTTGTGAATATTCTGGACTGGATAAATTACAGTCACAGTATCTGGAAGTAAAAGACAAGAGTTTCTACTCATGGAAAATTGCAACATCACTGTACTGCATGAAAAATTAATGAAGTATTTACAATAGAACAAGTGTATAAGCTTAGTTAATGTTAGTAATCTCTCTAATTGAGTGTTTCCCAGGAATGGTTGAAAATTATAAAAGAAGAAATAGTGTTTGTCTCACAAAAGTTGAGATAATTTACTAATTCAGTAAGATTTAAACATCTGCATACAAACCATGAATCTAATCCTGCAAACCCTTACTCATGAGTGGTTTCTACTAAGGGATAGCTCAGTGGTTTGAGCATTGGCCTGCTAAACCCAGGGTTGCGAGTTCAATCCTTGAGGGAGCCACTTAGGAATCTGGACAATAACCTTTGTGACTTCAATGGTGCTATTTACATCAGTGTCAAGTATCAGGGGGTAGCTGTGTTAGTCTGTATCTACAAAAACAACAAGGAGTCTGGTGGCACCTTAAAGACTAACAGATTTATTTGGGCATAAGCTTTCGTGAGTT